CTCACCTTTTTATGAGGTTTGTGTGTGTGTGTATGTCGGCCCAGAGAATCGCCCAGTGCCCTCTTGCTCGCTATCTCTGCCTTGTTAACCCATTGAGGGCTCCCTCACACGGGATTTTCATTCTGCTTTCTGTGGTCTCACTGCTCTCTTTACACACACACACACACACACATACACATACACTCACAAATGCACATACACGCACAGTAAAAGTTGTGTATCTATATCTGGATGTCATTGTTTGCAACATAATGAAATAAAAATCTGTAAATATAAGTTATCTATTTGTGTGCTTTCTTTTGAGGAAAAGAGGTGAAATGAAGGAAAAAGACTTCCAGGAGTCAGACAGGATTCACCACTGCAAGGTTTCATAGGGAGGTCAGATTCTGTTCCCGTTCATCCCACATTAAATACAGTCTCACAGTACAGTCAGGCCAACCGTGTCGTGCTTTGTCTATCCCATATTTTGAGGCATACTGGTATACTATTGCAGTATTTCAATGCTACCCTGATACGGTTTGCTTGGTAACTTGTTGGAATTTGTTTGAGACACAGGTGCTGTTCTTCAGATTTTCTTTTTGCTCGTATCATTCACAACCATTTAATCTGTCACTGTGTGAACCTTGTGTGGTGGTGTTGTGACACTTGGTAATACAGAATGTTGTCATTTGGAAAGTTCAATTTGGTTCAATCAGACAAATATTTAGTGACATGGACAGCAATGTTTTATTAACCAATGTTAATAAAAAATGTGGGTCTCGTAACTTCAAATCATCAGAGGAAAGCATTTTGGAAAGAAATGGGTCACTAGACAAAAACTGAAAAACTGCTTCACTAGACAGAGAATATTATTTATGTATAACTATCTGGCTCTGGTGCACAGATGTACGTCTGGTGCTACACTATCGTCTCATATCGTCTTTAGTAAACTGATAGTCAGCATCTGACCCCTGCTCAGATGCTGACTATCAGTTTTGTTATTGAATTTTGTTACAGAGGAGGAACAGATCACTCCTGACCTATAGTGTTTTTTAATTAAATATTAGTTGGGAGATGGTGAGGATGTGGTACAAATAGAATAGAATATATCTTTATTCTCCACCAAGACCAGATGCAACATCATTAAAAACAGACAAGCAGTCAGTAAAAGAACACAAACTAGGTTACATTACAGTTCACTTTGATCTTAGTCACTTAGATGGATGATATAATGGCTTTTGATGTTTATCCCCCAGGTACAGCCCAGTTACGCTGCAAGCTTAGTCTGGAGAGGCAAAGACATCAGGAAGGCAGCAGGGACAGTTCAGGCCCCCTTATCAATTATGTACGGTACCCCTGCTTACTTCTGCGCTCACACACACACCTGCTCACTCACCCACACAGCAATTACTCTTTCTCAGTGCTCTGCAGTATCCTGGCAACAGTTGCCAGGGTGGAAAGAGTGCACACGCCACACCTTGCTCTGTCCTGCAGGTCTGTGAGGGCGGAGGAAACGGGGAGTGGTGGAGTAACACGCAAGGACGCATGCAGATGCCAAAAAGGATTATTACAGCACAAGGTTCACGTTGTAAAGGGGACATTGGCAACGGGGACACAGTGTGGTGGACTGAACCTGCCTAGACATTTGCACATGGAAGGGAGAAGTGGCTTCAAGGGAGTTAATAAAAGGATAATAAACCTGTCTCAGTCTGAAACTCCTGTTTCTCAGCAGAGGCACTGGAGTAGAAACATTGGCCTACATCTGCCCGCCACCACTCTTTCATGCACACAGATTTCCCCTCATGCAAGCTAAAGATGTAAAAACAGGGTAGAAGAGACTCACTTTCTCATTTATATTGCTTCTAGGTCATCCATTTCTCTCCCTCTGACAAAACTGTTGATACAGATTTATGGCAAAGAGAGAAAGTGAAAGGAGCTGCAGAGAGAGATATAAGCCAGCATTGATTCCGATAAGCTGGCATGATACAGAGGTGTTGAGAGGTTTCAAGGTCAACAGACCTGTATCTGTCAGATGCAGCAGTATTGATTCTCCCAGATAGGATTCAACACTTTTGTACAGCATGCTGGCTTTTCTTTATCAACATATGCAGGCAGATAGTAGTTTCAAGTGCAGAAAGCTGCAGGGTCTGTATTAATATATAGGTTTGTGTGTCATCCCAGTATAGCTTACGTGAGTCCCACTATAGTTTATGTGACCAGCGTTCTAATCCCCACAAAGCCTGAGGAGGACGGTTGGGAGGTTTGGAGCAGCTTATGTTGCAGGATGTGGCGCCCTCTAGTGGTAACATGCATGGAGAGGTTCAATGTCCCTATATGGAAAGAAACTGCTGCTTCCCTACACTGCACAAGTGAACAGTGGTCACATGGATGTTATGGAAAAGATAATAAACTTTCAACATCTTGTGTCTTAGGGGAGGCAGCAGAGGCATTTAATTTATTTCTGTATTTATTTTGTCAATTAAAGTAAGAAAATAAAAACTTTGAGAAAAAGTTGACATTTTTGTTTTACTCAGTCATGTTTTCCTAGCCTCAGACTGGGTTATAATTGGAATGTGTAAGAATAAGTGTTTTAAGGTTCAGATCTCAACACCTGAATTAAGATAATATAAGATAAGCCTTTATTGATCTTAGAGGGGAAATTTGGTTGTTACAGCAGCAGCACAAGGATAGAAATATGTACAGATAAATAGGAAAAGTAAAACAATAAAGAGAGTATATAAATACTATACTAATAATAAAGAGAAATTTAAGACAAGTTTACAGTGATGACGTCTAAGATCTAATAATGTGTAAATATCCAAGACATTTACATTTTTAACTTTACACACAGGGAAATTGACCACAGAAATAGGCCAGTTGTGATGATCTATGCCACCATTAATTTAAAGCATTTAAGTTAAACTTTGGATTCTTTGGAGAGATCATTTAAATTTAAGGTTTGGGTTATGGTTATTGATATAATTAGGTTTGGTTATGGAAATAATGTTTGATTGTAATGTTTGATCTTCTCAAAAATACAACACAAGCAAAAACTCCACAAGTTCTTAGTTTGAAAGATTCTTCAAATCCCCCCCCACTTTCTCTGGTTAAGGTCTCCTGTTTTGCGTTGCTACCTCTTTGTCTCTGCTCTGTAGATCCACTAGTGATGCAGCACTTCTAACTGGGTCAGCCTGTCCCTGCCTCTCATCCCTCCCACCCTCCATGTCTCTCCAAGCCACCCCCTCCTCCGCCTCCCCTTTTTCCTGTGTATATTCATACTGTACATCACTACTTTTTTTCACGCAGCTCATGTGCTTACCATGTGCAGCAGCTCTCTCCTCCCTGTTCTCTCCCTCCTCCCCCTTTTTCTGCCTGATTCATATTCTGCCATACATCATCATACTCTTATGGTGTCTCAGCCTGTTGCAAAATGACCCCCAACCCCACATGCAGACACACACTTTGTCACTTGCATTTGTTTCTTATCATCTTGAATTTCCGTTGTTTTCAGATATTGATGGTGTTAGTAGGTTTGTATGTGCAGCCAGGACGCATGGCGTGCCGACGGCAGCTCTTATGTACTCCTGAGCTGCTGTTTTGATTGGCTGAGACGGTCAGACCCTGTGATGTGGTAGAGGATATATACAACTGAGTGGTGCCCAATGGAAGACTGTTACCATGCAACCACACATACACTACATACATGCCTCTGTATACACTACATAGATAAACAACCACTGTAACATAAACCATTAATCATAACACTAAATCAAGATTTATTTTTCCCTTCAGGGAAGATATATTGCATAAACCCCCCCACTGCTGTTACATGGCATATTGCATATCATAATAACACATTAGTGACAGCCGACATACAATACACAATATCCAACATAAGAAGCAGCATGTAATTGCACCATAAAATGTGGAAATAATGTGATTACAGAGAAAGAGAAAATCCTTTTTTCAATGTGAGAAAAAAAACGGTGGGTGTGTGGAAACTCGCATGAAGGGAAGTTAAATACAATAGTGAGTATAATGGTATAATCATAGATAACACACTTGAACTTTTTGTACATGTTTTTGGTCAAACAATAATGAAAACACGTCATGAACAATACATACCAACATTCATTTTTTTTAAGTTATTAAATTAATGAGACTTAATGGTTTGAAAATGTGACTATTTATCTGCATATTGTTGGGTTTTTTTTCCCATAAAGTGGCAACGACATTTTAGTAAAACAAAAATATCTATGTTTTGTAAATTACAGTAGCCTTTAATAGTTGTTCATCTAAATATGAATGACAATATACGCTTCTAAAACACATTACTTTAGATTAATGTACACAATTTAACAAAAATGTTTTTTAACATTTTAATTACCCCACACGTCATGCTAATTGTAATCATGCAATACCTGTAAAAATGTAGTTCATTTGAGCCTCAAACACCAAAACCCACTGAACAGATAATATTAATAAGGACATTTTGCTCAGCTGCTTCCCCTCAGCATTATTCACCCACACACACACACGAGTAAGCCCCGCCCCCTCGCCGTGTTTTGATTGACAGCTCTGATCCCGAGACAGCAGGGTGGCCAGTCACGCTCTCGTCATGCAAATGAGCCGCGCTCGGGCCGGGCGGGTGCCCATGTGGACCAGCACCATGCCTTGTTGTTCTGAGCGCTGATTGGTTCGCTGGCGCCTGATTGTTCTTCATGCTCTGCGGGCCAACGGTCGGGACGAAAACATGGCGGACCGGCGACATCTGCGGGGACCGTGCCTGGCTCGAGTCACGCAGAGGTACGCGGGTACAGAGTGAGCCTGTCGTGCTGCGGGAGTGTTTTTTTTGTTTTTATTTTTTAAATAAACCAGATGCTATAATAATTTTTAATGTAAATGTCGCGTTTAGTGTGAAAGGGGTATCGGTTGCCATGGCGAGCGGCGCGGAGGAGGAAGGAGTGGTGCGGTCGCCGGGTTTTGCCGGACGCCATAGTAACAGGGCGGGGCAGGAATCCGGGAGGGGCGGGTCTTAACGAGAACACGACTCGCCTTGTTGTGTGTATTCCCGTGCTCGCATCGCCATCTTGTTGCAATCCTAATTTTTTTTTTTTTTACGTATGCGAGGATCTACTTTCCGTTTGGTCGGATTCAAAATCGCCCGTCTGCCTTTCGGGAGAAACCCAGCGGGACGAAAGAGCTCGGGTGTGCGGGTGTGAACTGTGCACACGGCGCTTCCTACCGGGACACTACCTACCCCCCTCTCGGTCTTTTTTCTCCCCCCTTCCTTCCGTCCCGGGCCACCGGGTCGCCTGCCGTGAGGGTTTTTTACGCGCAATGAGCATCGATACACTTTTGGAGGCGGCCAGATATCTGGAATGGCAAGCCCAGCAACAACAGATCACACGTGGTAAGTTGAGCAGCAGACTGGTGCATCGTAACAGAGTGCACTACAACCTAAACTGCCCTTTTTCTTTAAGGGAGGAGGTGGTTGGTTGGTTGGTTGCGGGGTATCTCGTTACTATTAACGGCAGGGCTTGTGTCTTTCAACCGACCCGCCTGTGATGAACGGAAGCGTTTGGAGTCTGTTTTTTTTTTTTTTTCATGCCGGTAAAAAAAAAAAAGAGAGAGAGAGAGGCTGTAAACCCTCTGTATCCTCCGAGCTGTTCATTATTGCACACGTTTGTCTTTCACCTTAATGCGGAAACGGTCAAAGTTGTTTTGCGAACTACTTTGCGCGCTCTCGGTGTGTCTATGTGTGTGTGTGTGTGTGTGTGTGTGTGTGTGTGACAGTTTAGACACTGAAGTGACTCACAGTGCGCGGGCGTGTGTGTGTGTGTGTGTGTGTGTGTGTGTGTGTGTGTGTGTGTGAGGAGTTCCTGTCAGTAACCGAGGTCCGTTTAATGTGTTTGTATCTTTGTTATGAAGCGACCAGCTGCAGTGTGTGCACTTCCACTGCAGTACACACACACCTGAAAGCTCACATATAGCTGGGGGGGGTCGATTAAAAACACGTCATTAAAGAGTTTTATTTTCAGTTTAAGTATCGTATGTATCTGATTTAAAAAAAAAGAGCCCCCTCATAATCGATTTGCCCCAGTTTTTAATGTGTGTGTGTCCGTCGAGCACCGGCAGGGCGGTGGCGAGCAGAGGCTGCTCTTTACATAATACCCTGACATTGCTCAGCTATCTTATGACACACACTGGGGCGGGCCCTCACGCGCTCAACCCACCGTCCCATTTGTATGTATGCGCGCGCGAGAATATGCTCTCTTTTGCTTGTGTTTCTGCTATTTTATTGGAAATCGATGAGTTGCCAATCGGCACAATGATCAGTGACTTGGTAAAAGGAGTGTGTGTGTGTGTGTGGGGGGTGCTTTTTGTGTTTCTCATCTCTGATGACGTGTCAAACAAATCAACCCCCCTCCTTTCCCCCCCGCGCATACTTACCCTACCGCGTGCTAGGATCCGCCCACAAGGACCACGTGCACACTGCCTCCCCCCCCACCTCCTCCTCCTCTTGACACACACACACACACACGCTCGCCGTCCCCGCCCTTCCCATTCAGTCTACTGACAGTGGCGGGTCAGAAAGAGAGAAGGGGGGGTAAGTAGGGCAGCTCCCTGCTCACCCCCAACCCAACCCAACCTCTCAGTGCAGGAGTTATGTAATTTACGTTTGCGTGCATTTGATGATCTGGAGCATTGTGTGTGTGTGTGTGTGTGTGTGTGTGTGTGTGTGTGTGTGTGTTTGCACTAGAAATTCTAGAAAAACAATTTGGTGCATGTCAGCATACTCTCTGCAGAACAACGTCTGCATGTCCTACGGTTGTTTTATGAATGCTGTTTGGCCTCTTTGTAGGATTTACCCTCTCATTTGTGTCTCATATCTGCAAACCATGAAGAAGCAGTTATTGAACAAGGTGTCCAGCTTTGCATCTGTTCCTAAATGACACCAGTGCATCTTTAAGTCTATGGTTGATAATAAATAAAGGACATTTTCTAATATTGGGGCAAATGTGTGTAAAATCTAACTGATATATAGCAATCAATCAATGTGTTCTTCTATTATTCATTACTGGAGACCAAACAAAGCAGAAACCTTTATAACTATTTTAGTTTCTGTTTTAGAAACGGGTTAAAATAAATGTCAGGCACAATACTACTGCAGCTGCAACTAATAATTATTTGCCCAATGAATTGATGAGTAGTTTTTTCCCTGTAAAATGTCGGAAGATAGTAAAATATGTCCATTACTTATCAGATTGAGCAACCCAGAGCCCAGAAATATTCAGTTGGCTATAAAAAAAAGAAACAAATCCTCACTCTGGAGACTCTGAAACCACAGAATAACATTTTTATTGAAAAATTTACTGAAACAATTGGTCGATTATCAAAATTGGCAATTTACTAATCATTTGAGTTGTAGATACTATAAGATCTCATCCCGTGATACTTAAAGTCAAGTGTAATGCTCACGTATCAGATATAGGACTATTAATAATGTCTGCATTTGATTGTTGATGAGTTGTGACTATAAATCCTCACGATGACGGCGTCTCAACTGGGCAGGCCCTTCTGTGAGGTGAACTATTGCCCCGGGTGAAAGGAAGTTGCGTCATCAGGGGTTCGCAGTGTCGTGTGGAGAAGAAATAAAAGGCGTGTTGGTGTTGGGTGTTTTTTGTTTTGTTTTATAATGGTGATGGCTGGGCTGCGTGTTGGCGTTGTGCAGGTTTGAGGAATCCCTGGGATCTTCTGTTTCTAATGTTGCTGTTTCCATGGTAACCGAGGGCTTTCCACATTGCTTTGAGTCTGCCTGCTACGGTGTGCAGTAACTACTCACTCATATCATTAAGTGTGTGCGTGTGTGCCTCTGCATACTCAACATAAGCACAGCGTGAGAACATTCCCATCCTACCATGTGATTTAAAAAAAATTAATGCAATTTGTGCTTTTTACGATACAATGATGCTTCATTTAAATGTTGTCTTGATGCCAGCTCTGGTTCGCAGAGTGGCCCCTTGACAGTGGTCCACTGCTGTCGGTCAGACGGCCCTGATGTGGCCCGGGGGGTTGAAGCATGCTCAGTGCAGGAACGGTCCAATCACAGGGCAGACGGAGGGGTGTTCTCCCCGTCAGGAAACGGATGCAGACACAATTTCTGCGATTGTTTCCCCCACCCCACATCTGACTCCCCAAATGACATCATTCTTTGTGTGTGTGTGTGTGTGTGTGTGTGTGTGTGTGTGTGTGTGTGGGATGTGCACATAGTGTTATGATGTTCACCACTTATGTTGTGTTTGTGTGGTGCTGTAAGTGAGCTGTAAGCGCAGTAATGAAACTGCTAAAATTACCTGAAGAGAAGTTGCATAATTTGTTAGATGTTGGTTGATAAATTACAAGTAATGTGTGTGTGTGTGTGTGTGTGTGTGTATTGTATCATACTGTATATTAGGGCATGAAAGGCAGATTTAACCACTGGAAATAGTCACAGAGGGCAGGTTGACCACTGTTCTGTTCAATATACAGTTGACTCCCCTGTTTGTCTCCCCTTACGTCCAGTTCTTCTAACTTTTTTGGTTTGTGCTTCTTCTTCTTTTCTCGCCTCCTACAGAGGAAGAGCAGCGCAAAGAGAAGGAGCTCATCAGCCGGGAGGCAGAGTCAAGACGCGTGGAACTCGTGACCTCGTTGTCTCAGCCAGTCAGAGCCAACCACATCACTTGGAGCGATGACACTCACCGCCAACAGCCGCTTCACCCTCCCGCCCCTCCGCCACCCTCTCTCCAACCTCCTCAAGTCCCCATCGCTGTCATACCAATGGTCCCAGTTGTCACAGCGACACCCTCTGTTCCGCCCCTTCCGCTTACAACACAGATTGCTGTGGCGGCGACGTCGCTCAAGAGCTCCCCGCCAGCCAAAAACGCTTCCTCCCCACCACAGCAGCAATACCAGCAGCAGCCGCAGCCGGAACAGAAGCCGCAGCCGGAACTGAAGCCGCAGCTGGAACAGAAGCCGCAGCCACAGCTGCAGCCGCAGCCGCAGCCGGCCTCTCCTCACCTGTTGTGCGCCGCCCAGATAAAGGTAGAGACTAATGAGCAGTTGGTTGATGCAAAGCCCATCCAATTACAGCCTCAGGTTCAGATTCAGTACTCAACCTCCATCAGCACTAACGGCTCTGGCTCTCAACATGCACTGGTTCCCCATCAAGCTCCGCCCACATCTCAGCCGCGGCCTAATGGAGTGACGATTGAGGACATTAAGGGGATGGAAGGGAAGAGGAGACCAGGAGGGTCAGTTTGTGTGTGTTTTTGTTAAGGCTGATAGATAAGAGTGTAGATTGGTTTATGGTTGTATCTGATCGTATCTGATCGTGTGTTTTGTGTTTCCAGAGCGGGGACCAGAGAGGTGCATAATAAACTGGAGAAGAACAGGTGAGTCATAATAAGCTGAACGTCTTGTTGTTGTTGGTGTTAACTCATCAGGAATTAAGGAAACAGCCCTGTTTTCTTAGTTTCTATGTGTTATGAAAGAGGTTCAACCGTCCAAAGGTCATTTCCTCAACATATACAAAACCATGACATCCTTCTCAAGCATGAAAATTGGAGTTATAAAGTCTCTTTAAATGACAACAGCTTGGTTAACCTCTCAAGCAAATGATCGACTTACTTATAAATGATGAATATTCTACATGAAGACTCTACGCTAATGACAGCCATATCAAAAGTGTGACTCTTTCTCGTTTCTGACTCTTGGCCCTTCAGGCGAGCGCACCTCAAAGAGTGTTTTGAGACGCTGAAGAAGAACGTTCCAAATGTTGATGAGAAGAAAACCTCCAACCTCAGCGTTCTCCGCAGCGCTTTGCGTTACATACAGGTAGAGTTTGAACATATTTTCCTAGCTTTCCCAGCACAGTGGGACTGTAAGCCTTTACATATTGGTGTGGTCTGACAATATTTTGGGTCTTGTTTTTCATCGTATTGTTTTCAGCTTTCTCTAGTTTTTAATTGATTGGTTTGACTCTGGGAACAGCACAGACTTTGGTCCTGTGTAATTGATACACAATGCCTGTTTTGTTAGCCATTAAGCCGTTTTGTGTTGGTTAGTCTCTTGTGACTGTGATATGGCATCTGCCAAATACTGGTGAATCAGCCCGTAAGAAGGTGGTGAATAAATCCAATGTTTTCCTGAGTCTATAATACATTGCATTGGCTATTTCTTTATAACACACTCAGTTTACTTTTTGTTTTTAGAACATTAGTTTGCGTTTGAAGTGTTTCAGTTAGATTCTTATCCAGTAGAAATGTTGTGTAACTCCATTCTGTTGTCATGTAGTGTCATTCAGTATTAAAGAGAAAAAGCACTGGTTGTCCGGAGAGCTAAATAACTGGAAATGATGAAGGACTTACATTTTTTGTGAGAAGAGATTTGTAGCATATTGTAGTTGTGTAGTGAACTAACATTGCATTGCTGAAGGTGGTGGTGGGGGGGGAGGAACCGAATAGCCTGAAGAGGTGAGTTTTCAGTCTACAAAAGTAGACGAGAGAGGATTCCTACACTGTGGCGGCCTGCAGCTAGATTCAGTGGTTCATTTTTTGTGGAGTAGAATATTTATGATACTGAGTTCAATGGAATATGCAACAGGGACTTAGTGGAAGGAGCTAAATTAGGCCATGGGATGGAAGAACCTGTTCAAAACAAAACTGGTTGCAAGATCTTGGGCCAGCCTTCAGGGAACGTACCACAGGGAGATTTGTGGCAGTCTTTGACAGGAGATGGTGATGGTTTTGATATGAGGCAGAGCCAAGCTGCTGGTGAGGAAATCTATACTGTGCAATGTAAGAAACAGTTACAAATAGCAGTGTATGTAATGGTAGTAGCTACTAGGGCTGAAACATTGTTTATATGATTGTAAATTCAATATTTTTTAGATTTTTTTTTTTTTATAGACTAAAAATGTACCGATTATTAAAAAACATAATCAGTGGAATAAGTGATTGTACAAATAGTCATCAGCTGCAGCCCTAGTTGTCACACAATACCAGTAGATACTTAATATTTTCCTGCAGCCCACACTGTTATGCAGACTGCAGACACTGATTAATAGGGAAGTAACAATCACATTATGAGTAGGAATATTTTTCCATATCACAATATGAGTAATGTATGGAAAATCACACATAAAATGATAAAAACTAATGTTAAGCCCAATTAATTACTTCACTCCTATGCATCACAAAATGTCAGACGTGTAAAACCTAAACTAAGATACCCGTTTTTGTGTGTTAAAATAACACGATTCTACAGAACAATAATATTTAATATATTTCCCATTTACCAAGGTAGTCTAATACAGCTGCACAATTCCCAAACCTTAGAAATCAAAGCCTGTATTAAATTTCCAACAGCTACTCAATGTTCCTAGTTTGGCACCTTCTCCTCTGATCTATAAAATAATTAGTAGGTTTTTCTTGTAGACGACAGACTCGCCCCTTCTTTTTTCCCCCACCTCCTCTTTGGGTACCTCTCCTCCATGCAAATCTGTGAACCTCACTCTGTCTCCCTCTCCCCGAGCCATGTGAAATCTGAGCACATGGCTAGAGCAAGCCCGATGACGTCACCGCAGCTCACCCCCTCCGATCTGCTCTGCACCGCTAGATTGCAGAGACGGTGTCCGTGCTGGGCGCACTAACGGAGCAATGCAGCAGTGTCGCCATGGTTATAACAGTGGAATTGGTGCAGACTTGCAACAATCTTAACCTCTGTCTGTCTCAATCTTTTCTTCCCTCTTACGTTCACACTTGGTAACCATAGCAACGGGCGGCAGGTGGCCTGGGCACTGTAGTCGGTCCGTTCCTTCATGTTTGTCTGCATGGGAGTGTGTGTGTGTGTTTGTGTGTGTGATATAAAGCCTAAACTGATCAGATTCTGCTTATATTGGTTTGTCAAGGGCTATGGAAATCCCATGTCCTCATATGAACCTTTTATGGATCCCATGTCCACACAGAAGCATACGTGGTTAAGGCAAAGACACCTGTCGGGTCAAAGTATCATCACACATGAGTCATTGTTACCTTTTTTATGAAGAGAGGACGTGTTGAAAGAGGAGAGATAAAGGAAGCATAGATGAAGCTGAGAAGGGGGGGAGGGTGTCGAGGGAGCGATGGGTGGTAGAGTAGAAGTAGAGGGAGTGTGGGATGGAAGTGTAGAGGGTGGGGTGGGGTCTGAAGCACACGACTGGCAAACGTCCAGTCACATTACTCCTTACGTGTAATTACCCCGATGCTTCACCCAATAAGATTGCTCCTTATGTTTTTTTTTTTTTTTTTACAAACTGCTGCTCAAGCAGCCAAATCCTCACGGATGAGGTTGCCAAGGAAACTGCTACGGGTGACAGCTGTTTCCTTGGTGATTTGCTGCAGGCCTAATGGTGTCTGGGTTTGCATGGGAAGACCTTGAAATGATGTTTATGGATGCACATGCGCACATATTTAAGCAGTTGTAGCTCCTCTGTGACCAGCCTGAGCTAGATAATGTTTGTGTTTCAAAGAATATCTGTTGACTGTGTGACTGTGTGACAGTTTGCTTTGTCTTGAAGAATTATATATTCAGTATATTCAGTGAATGTGAAGCAGACAGACAGTAGATGTTATAGTCAGACATGAATCAGCTGGAATAACTTTTCTACTTGCCATTTAAACAACGACTGCCATTATCGTTTAACTCTGTCCTCAAATAATTAGGACCATTAAGACATAATTTTTTGAAATGTTTCAGGGTGTTGAGCTGTCAAATTGCTGGGGCTGATTCGCCATCATTTCCAAAACCACCCCTTCTTCGCTCACAACCTTTCAAAACTGCCCTTGCAATCATGGGAAAAGGCTGCATGTGTGGAAGCACACACAGGGGAGGGTGTTAGATGAGAAATGTTGAGCTGCTGTAAGGTGGCAAAGTTCACCAGGTCTGGGCTGGTAGCTGTTAGAGCAAAGAGTGCTGTGAATCAGGACGGGAGCGGCGAGGAAAGTGGGCAAGCGTGCAAGGCCATCACATGTCTGCAGAGAGTAAACAGCTTTGCTCACTGAAGTGGGTGTCCTGTAGTAGGATCATGTGTCCCCATGTGCTTATTTTCTGTCCTCTCTCATGTGGTTCCCTCCTTATGTTCCCTTTTTTGGACAGAAAACATTTCTGGCACGTCTTTTTTTCTCTCCAAATTTTTGTTGACTGTTCCACAAGTACTGGATATTTAATTCAACCAGTTACACGCAGCTGAAACTTAAAGAGTATATGACTGGTTTCTGTTAACCAACCGAATGCCTAAGCCTCGTCCTTTCCACCTCTTTATCCTCTGCCCTCCTTTAACCACCCTTTTTCCCCACTGTACCTCCCTCCCCTCTCCCTCCTTCCCCCCTCCCCCTCATTCCTCCCTAGTAATCTTCGTTAATGTCCTTAGCCGGTCGTACTATTTGGTGTTCATGCGTCAGCTGACCCACTCAGAAACTGGGTCACAGAGACGGCATGGAGGGGCTGGAAAAGCTGTGCCGTCTTTCGAAATCTTTCTTGTAAAGCTTTCTTTCTTTTTGTGTCTCCAGCTCAGTTTTTTTCTTCCTCGTTTCATTTATAACTCACACTCGGCGCGTGACCGTGCTGCGCTGAGAATTAATACTTTCATTCAGTCATTATCTGACTAATGTTAAGGCTGCAGTTATCCATTGATATCAGAGTCGTGGGTGTGATGAGGAACTTGAGTGTCAGCTGAACGTTCACCTCCACTCTGACCCCCATTCTCTCGAAAAACAAGCATGATAACCAGGAAATGGGAGGAGCTGAAATAGATGACGCCAACGAACGCAGTGTGAACATGCTTGAATTTGCATGCTTGCCTTCCTGCTGGTGTTTGAAACTGGTATAGCACGGAGAACATTGTGTTTCAGTATTGTGCAAGATGGGGGAAATGTGGGAGTGGCCAAGACTGCACAGAGAGAGAAAGTTGGTGTGAGCTCCTTTTCCTGTTGTAATGCCAGTTCTTTGAACTGTAGATATTTAAAAGTAATCTACAAATAGTATATTCGCAAAAAGAGGGCGGCAGATAGAACATGGCCTTTTTTTCTATATTCTACTAAATGTATATTTAGTTTCCCTGTTTTGTGATCCTCTGCTGTTTGCTTTGTTAATCTGCTGTTAACTATTAAAGCAAACTCAACACTTCCTCCATCTGTTTCATATTAACACAATGCTAGTATTTCAGGGGGCATAATCCCTGTACTTCCTTAAAGGCGTCTATTGAAAACTTGTGCAGGAAGTTTTGACCTTTTTTAAAAGCAGCTTAACACAGAGTGGAAAAAACAACAAATCAGAACTAATGAAGTAGGCGAGGACAGTATTTTTTGTGAAGGTTGAGTGTGGAATGACTGAAGGAAATAATGCCGTGGAAATCAATGTGCAGAATTTCCATGATAATTTGAACCATTGTTTTTATTTATTCATAGAGACTGCAGCCTCAGCTGAATACAATTCACAGTACGTGTCAACTACGTACTATTAAGGATCTTAATCTCAACAATGATTGTCTATTAGAAGTGTTTTACAGTGTTTTTTACATCTACTAGCGATACTCATCTACTCTGCTGTCTGTGTCTCCCATAAAAGACTCTGAAGAGGAAGGAGAAGGAGTACGAGCACGAGATGGAGCGTTTGGCCAGAGAGAAGATCGCTACGCAGCAGCGGCTGGCCGAGCTGAAGAACGAACTCAGCCAGTGTATGGACGTCATTGAGATCGACAGAGTCCTCCGACAAACCATCCAGCCAGAGGACGACCAGGCCTCCACGTCCACCGCCTCAGGTACATGTACAATGAGATGCAACAGCTCACATACATTATATATTACCTGCATACCTGATACTCTCATACAGAACTAATTACAAGAAGTGCAACAGCAGATAAAGCTTTTTAGTAGTAGTGGTTACATTTAGTTTTAATTTCAGTCTCTCAGTGAACTTTCATGTACACACCCAGAGTACACACATAGCATTATTTCTTGGATTGTCTCATGATGACTAACAGTTTCCTGTCTGGTCTACAGAAGGAGAAGACAACTTTGAGCAGGACATTGACGATGACGTCCCTGCTCCCATTCCTGCTCCCACGTCCCTCCCCAAACCAACACCTCCCATTTTACAAGCCCAGCCGCTCCTCACCCCTCACCTGTCAATCCAGCACTCCACACTGCCTCTCTCCGGAGTCCTGACCACGGCCTCGCCCTCTGCTCCCCCTCTCCCTCAAGCCATCGCCCCCGCTCCAGGTCCGCCCCCTCACCCCATCCAACCCCAGGCTTTGCAGGTCCAGCCCACCGTCATCGCTCACGCCGCCGTCTCCCACCCCTCGGTCATCCAAGCGGTCAATCACGGCATGCCAGCCAATCACAAGCACCTAACACACATCGCCCCGTCACCTGGCCCCACTTCCTCCACCCCTCAGCCAATCGCAGCAGCTCCAGCAGCCACCGCCACTCACCAGCAGATAGCCACCCAGTCCATCGGACACATCACCGTCCACCCGGTGGCTCACCTGGGAGGCCCCCTGCCATCCCACCTCTCGACTCTTTACCCCCAAGGCGTCTCTGTCTCCCAGCCCACCATGGTGGGCCACATCACTCACACCTTCACCCATCACACCCTGCCGCACGTCCAGGCTAATCCTCAAGCTAACACTAATGGTGCCCAGGTGAACAGCGCAGCCGTGATGAGCCAGGGGAGCCCGTCGCTAGGGAAACCCACGGCAGTGCTGGCCCCCCACCCACAGCTGGTTGGACAGGCTGCCGTCCTCAACCCCGTTACCATGGTTACAGTCCCAACCTTCCCTGTCAGCACTCTCAAACTGGCCTGAAAGAATAAAAAAGGAGGGAAGGAGAGAAAGATTCAGAACTTCTGGATGAGTTTTCACACTCCTATCAATAATCAACAAAACAATGTTTTATGGACAACTTCTAAAGAATATCTCCAGAGATATTTCGGTCACAGCTCTGTTAGTTTGTGAACAATAACATTAAAGCAGAGTCAGTGGGTCAGGCCATTGTTTGTGAAAATAAGACTGTGACATTTGTCTGCGCTGCAAAGACAGGAACTGTTTTTACCTTCCTTCCTTGCCTTCTTCTCTCCTTCCTTCCTTTACAACCAGAAGCACTAACATAATAAGCTCAGTTCACACTCAGGCATCAAGGATTTACCTTAACTATCCATTCACTCATTGAGGAAAAAAAACACATGAGAGAGAGTGAGAGAGAGAGAGAGAGAGTTGTGTGTCATTAGGCTGTTGCCATGGTGATACAGTATGTGCCCATTTTTATATTAATGATGTCATGTGGGACATTCTGGTGGAATAATGTCACTGATGTGTTTGAGAGCAGAAGGAGGCAGCTCAGCGGTCTTACTGATCTGAATTAATTACACAGAGCTTTGATCAAGAGTGAAGTAGACCACATTACATAGTCAGCTAACTAGTTCACTTACTGATGCAGTTCTTTTCTTTTTGTTAGGACCACTGTAGGAAAGTTCCTCATTTATATTACTTCTTGTTTCTTTTCCCTTGTTTACTTTTGCTCCCAGTCCTTGCATAGAAACGTGGTCCATGAAGTGTGTTTACTCCATCTTCCTTCCACATGAAGATTCCTCACCATCGCACTTGGCAACAGTCAGATAAAACTAACAGTGCAATAATAAAACAGGGTCCAATCTTCAGTAGGTAAAAATAGACAAAAAGAAGAAAAAAGACACAACCTGGAAGTCTTTATATGTGATTTCTCTTCTGCTGTCAGCTTCTGTCACAAGTGCCCAATTCAACAGCGGAGTTATTTATTCACTTCCCCCTTCTGGCTTTCTTTTTGGAGAGCGATTCCAAAACAGTAGAGTGTCCCTTCAAACATGGAGCAACTCCAGCAATGAGGGGCACGATTACAGGGGAAGAATTATGGCAATGATTGCTTGGTTTGCTTAACATACAGTAGCATCTGTTTTTACCGGCGTTGTGGAGAAGATATTGCACGGACTTTGGATTTTCTTGTGGTCATGCTGGATAAGAAGGTTGTCTACTTATCACAAATGCCTAAAATGTGTGTAGTGAATTTAATATAAAGACAGGAGAGATGTTGGAATCCCGTTTTACTGCTCTCAAAACATTCAGTGACAGGTTTCCTCCTGTCGCCGTCATCGGCGATGTTCCCTGAAGGCACTGCAGGGCGAAACAGGTTTTTCACCCTCTTCACTCTAATGCAACAGCTCCCTCTGCTGCCTCATCCCAGACCTCATACCGATGTTACTCACACACAAACACTTCGGGGCACAACACAAATATCCTGCAGAGGCTTTTTTTAAATCTGGGGGAAAATATGACGAGACGTGCCGAGTGCCTCTTGACCTCGAAAGCAGTAGTTTTGACAATTCAAAATCTTAACTCGAGAAACGATCCTGACTGAAGTTTTCGTACTGTATTATATTACATACAATATTGAACTTTGGTCAGGTGACAAACTCCAACTGATGAGATCAGTGTGAGATGGATGAAAGCTCCAGAAAAGCTAGAAAGTGGAGCAAGAGTTGAGATTTTCTTTTTTTTTTTTGTCAAACAAGGAGAAATAAAAGTTTTTCTCACTGAACGGTCTTCAAAAGTTTGGATATAGCACAAAAGAATATTTAAAAAAGACAGGAAGAAGTACTGTTCAGGCCTAAGAGCAGTCTGCATTTTATTGGAGTTTTGTGAAGAATAATTTGGCAGCGACGTAATGTTTAACAGACAATATCAAAGCTAAAATCCTCTGCTCCAGTCCAGTAAATCTGTTTTGTTTTTTTTACTTCAAAATGGAAAATGTGTTGTGTTGTGCCCACTCTTCTTTGTGTGCATCTTTTGTGTGTGTGTGTGTGTGTGTGCGCGTGTGCGTGTATGTTCATGTGTGTTTATGTGCACATACTCAAAAACGTTCACGGCTTCACCGCCTTCTTGCCAGCCTATACACGTCGCACCATAAAACTCCCTTCAGTGTATGTGTATGTAGTCAATGTGGCGTGGATCTGCTCCTCGCCTCTTCTGCTGTTTCTGTATGTTACGTCTGTATATGTGACCGTATTCAATATGTTTTATATTCTGTACTATAGTTAATCCTACTGTACCTGTAGCATGGCTCTGTTTTTTGGTTATAGTTTACCCGTGTGTGTGTGTGTGTGTGTGTGTGTGTGTGTGTGTGTGTGTGTGTGTGTGTGTGTGTGTGTGTGTGTGTGTGTGTGTGTGTGTGTGTGTGTGTGTGTGTGTGTGTGGCAAACAAGCTATTTTTTTACACAGAGGTGATTTATGGTATGAGCCTGTTTGGGTGCTATCGTGTGTGCCTATACTCAGTTTTCCTGAACACTGTGACAACTCTGGCAAAACACGAACACATTGAGCGAATGGAAGAGATTTACTGTCCTAATTGATTTTTTTTTTTGTTTTTAAATGTTTTTAAGTTTTCCATTTTGTGAGTTGGACTGAGACATGGAGTGGAAAAAGTTTAAAAAAACAAAAAAAAGTTGTTGCTCTTTTCTCGATAACACAATAATGTCTAATATTCAATTTGAGTTTTGTAATATTTGTATGTACGTATGAAAGTTTTGTAAATTTGTGATCGTATGCACGTTTTGGCATATGAGTATGTATCTTCAAATTTTCAAATGCTTGTTCCTTTTTGGTTTTGTTTTGCATGTAGATTGCCGTTTAGTTCCCTTTGTTTAAAGGTTTTGTTTTTCTGTTTATTTTTGGGACCATGTACAATACTGTATAACGTGGGCAGGATCTTGGACCTCATGCTACATTGATATTATATATGAATATAAAAACATGTTTTCCCTATGGAGAAAGTTTTAAGTTATATATCGCCTGTACACTTTGGGCTGCCTTTTAGATCTAACTGTCCACTGTTTAAGATAACAATGATGATAATGGATAAAACATATTAATGATGAAGAATTATGCTGATGAAATAATAAAGATTCTTAATAAATCTTATTACATTTACAACATATCTTGCTCCTGTGTTTAATGCTCTTATGTTAACAGACAAAGCTTTTTTTATTGATATATTTTGACTTTATTGTCCTTACGAAACAGCAAAATTAGAGATTAAAAATACAAAAAAAGTGACACACAAGTAATAAAACATAAAATGTGTAAACAGGAAATATGAAAATGTAGTTTAAATGTTTAAAAACCAACATCAACATCACTAAGTGACCCCTAGATGGCAGTGTTACATCACTACGCAGGTTACTAATCAAGGAGACGTCCTGGAACACATCAACAAAACCAAAGGATTAAAAGTAGTTAATTGTAGCAGCAGAGCAACTCGATCCAGCTGTGAGCCAGTGTGACCTACTGAAGTGCTCTTGAACACAACACTGAGCCTGTGACTGCTTAAGGTTGGAACATGCTTCTCCTGGTTGTATGTAAGCAAACATGCACAAGTCTTTTATATGCAGTTTGAGTGTAATGTTTTTTTTCCTTTAGACAAGAGTTGGAGTAGCCAGTTGCCATGCTTGATGCTCCTTTACAAACCCGGGCAAGCTACATTTACTTAAAAAACCTTTCTGTGCGTAGCTCCACAGAAACGTGTGTCTTTTGAGAACCATGATTCCATCCTCGCTCACTTTAAGTTGTCCTGTGGAGCAGCGATCAGACAAGGCTGAATGCAATATGGCTGATTTCCTTTATTTTTTTTACATAAACAGAGCCTCCTCTGTGTTCCTGGGCGCTCCTTGTTGGTCTCCTCTCCCAGAGAATTATGGGAGATGATCAGCAGCCACCTCTCTGGCTGTGCTCCATCTGCTCCTGAATCCTCTCCAGCACCTCCTGCATCTTCCTCAGCTACAGAGGGAGGATGAATGAAAGAGCGGGGGTTACTGCTGTAACTGAGTAAATGAATGAGTGAGGAAGTGAGAGAAACGTACCTCTTCGTCCTTCTCAAAGATGAGTCTATCCCTCTCGGTGTCAACGGCGGCCAGCGGCAGAGGAAAATCTGCCTCGCTCACCTCTCGATGCTTCTCACGCAAACTAAAACCCATGTTCACAGCCACATACATACAGGAGAACACAATCTGTGTGAGCATCTATGTCAGGAAGACTGTAAGCATGTGTTCAATCAATCAATCAAACCGCGTCGACTCTACCCACCTGCGCTTCCTCTCCAGCACCACCATGCGCGTCATGTTCTGGATGCACTGGGCCCTGTAGTTTTCATAGTGCGTGTCCTGCGTCACTTCTTTTAGGTCCTCCATGTGCGTCCTCACCAGCATGTTTCTCAGCAGCAGGAAGTCGGAGTGAGCGGGGTCCTCCACTGGCCAACGCAACAACAACAATGTGTTAGTGGATCAAGCTGGTTTTTATTTGTTAAATCAAAAGTGCTAAAAACAAAAACTTAAGTAACTGATAGTCTATGAAGTGAATTA